CACCCTCCTATGGTGGCTCTGGGGTCAAAGGACAGATGCCTGGGGTACCTGTTGCATTCCACATCCTAGTGTTGTTGGGGACCAGGCATGGGTCAGACCCAGCCTTACCCTGCCCTGCCCTTCCTAGGGCAGTAAATACAACCTTATCTTGTTACCATCAGGGACCATGCAGTTCAGAGTGTAGATTCTGAATTGGATTAGGGGAGGGAGGGATGTTCTGGAAAGATGGGAGAGTTGGGAGTTAGCCTGGTGAAGGCCAATAGATAGATAGAGTGAAGCTGGAAGAATGCACTATTGGCACACCCTGGCCTAGGGCCATTGCCTTGTGTGGAATCCAGCTTCACCCCTCCCTTGCTCGAGGAGCTCTGGGAAACTTCTGAGGCTGGGATGCCTCCTCTACAAAATGGGAACATTTTCAATGCCTCCCTCACAGGGCTGGGGGAGAGAACTGGCGGTCAGAAGTGCATGGATGGGCCTGTGTTTCTGAGCCCTGTAGGCCATGCCAGCCATTTAGTCCTAGCACATCTACATGTGCTAGGGGTCAAGGGTCAGGGGCTTGGACCTGAAACAAAAGCTAGTGGAATGAGCCAGAAAGCCACCTGCCTTTTTCAGACTTACTCTAATCAATAGGCATTGTCTTCCAATCAGAGGCAAAGACTTCGAAGAGGGAAGATAATGCCGGGACTGCTATCCCTAGACCCCACCCCCGTTCCACCCTCATGTGCCATCTGGGATTTGGTGTCTGGGTTAAGCTTCAAGGGAAAGAGGGTGGCATCAAAGCAGAGCTTGATGCCTTTCCTTAGCTTCTTAGGGTTGATACAGTTCATCTCAGGGCGGCCACTAGATTGTGGGTTGATAATCAGGTTCCCCAGACTCTAAAAGTGGCTGCACGGTATAGCCATTCCCAGCTGAGGTAGAGGATGAGGTTTAGAGTGTCCCAATGTTGGGAAGCGGGAACCCCGGAATCATCTTCTGTGAGTTTGAGCCCTCCTTCCTGGTGTGCTTTAGAGGAGTTCCAGCGGTGGCACCTCTGGGCCTCTGGATTATCTGTGAAGAAGCCAGGAAGCCCCCTCTGCTTTCTCCAGCTGGACCTTGCTACTGCAGAACCCCAATTGCAGGACCTAGATGCTTAGGAGATGCCTGGGTTGGGTATGGACACTTGACCTCTGGGGCCAAGCAGGGTCCTACGTTCCTGGGACCCTTCCCCAGCAACTCCTCTCCCTGCCCCCACCTCGGACCAGGACACCCAGAGTCTCCGCCTAAGCTCTGCAGTGTCCAGTCTTTGTTGCCCACATCCCAGGAGAAGCCCTTGTGGGCCACAAGCCTGCCTTTGTCAACTCAAGCCTCACATGGGGCTGTGCCAGGAGGAGCTGGTGGGTGTTTTGCCTGCAGCTGGAGCAAGCCCCCAGAGGCCTTACCCCCCCCCCCAAGCTCCCTCAGATACAGAGCTGGCATGTCCACAACAGCCTGCACTGTGGTGAAGGCAATTCTCTGAGAGACAGCTGGTCATTGGCTCACTTCTTCACTGGATGCCCGTGTCAGGCCCGGGGCCAGGGACTTGGGCTGTGAGATGGGACTCTTGTCTTCTGTGGGGAATCCCTCCGGTGACTCACCCCCTAAGTTTCTGACTCAGTAGGTCTGGGTGGGGATATGGAGTTTTGTATCAGGTCCCCACATCCCCAAGCATGTTAGGCAGATGCTGCCAGTGAGCCATACCACCAACTCTGGAGACCACCGTAATTCAGAACCAGGTAGAGAAATTACGATTGATATTTTCTGTATTTTTCAGAACTTTGTTTGATCGTGTACCCCTTTCACAAAAGAAAGTTAGTTGCCAGAAAGCCAGATAAGGAGGGATGTTGCTTACTGTGGTCTCAACGTCATACATCCAGCAGCATGAGCTTGAGCATGCCCCTGCGGCTTCGTGTGACCTAGAGAGTCACTCAGACCCCACATCCTCCCGGTCACTGTGTTCTGCCAGACAATGGGAATATGTGAACTCACAGATAGCGAGGCTGAATTTAACATGGGTCCTTGCAGCCTGCACTGTATGGATGTGTGTCTGCCTGCATCTCCCACCCCTCACTTCCTGCTGCCTTCTCTGCCAGCTGAACCCTTGACTTCCTCATTTCTCTCACTGGGTGCTCACTGACTGTGTCACTTCCTCCCTTCCCACTTCCTGTCTGCCCATTTGGTGTGGTGTGGGGTGGTGACTCTATGCTTTGGGATGGGTGTCCACTGAGGTGACTGCCCCTCTGCAGCCAAAGGCAGGGTCACTCACTTTAGAGTGATGGCGAACGCACCCCTAGGACACAGTCTGATGTGTGGAGTAGTGATACATTGATTCTGTTAGTGGAGGGAGACAGCATGTGGTTCCAGAAGCCAGGCAGATGGATGTGAGGACCCCTGGGGTGTGGTGTGGCTGGATAAAATGGCTTTTCGCCTGCCCCTCAATCCAGCAGGTCACACCCCTCTCCCACAGGTAGCCACTGCAGCCAGACAACAGTCTAGATCCAATGCAGTCTAGACCCACAGCCATGCTTTTCCTGCTGGCAGGCAGGTGTGAGGAGAGGCCCCCATGATTCCAGTTCCAGACTGGAGACCCCTGGGGTGAGCAAAGGCTGTGGGGAAGGGACTCCCTTTATTCCCATCTTCTTCAGGGGACTCCAGCCTTCCAGATCTGGATCTTTCTGTTTCTGCTTCCATCAGTACAAACCTTGAGTGCTTATCTGGGGAGTGCCTTTGTCATCCCCGATGACTCAGTTTCCCTTCTCTGTGTGCATTCTTGTTTAAGCTAGCAATGTTACTCATGTCTGTGACTCAGTTTCCATATTTGTTATGAGACATGATTATGTGTTTCTTCTGTGAGGTGTCCTATATGCCCCTCTATGTAGTGTCTGCTAGTTACTCCCCTCCCCTTTCGCGGCAGGAAGTCCCTCCCTCTTGTTCTTTCTTCATTGGCTAGGCATGCTTTTGTTCATCAATGAATACTCATGGAAGTCTGCAGGAGGCCAAGCAGAGGCTAGATGTGGGGGCCAGGCAGGTGGGGCAACCTTCCAGGCTCCTGTGGTCACTGGGAGGAGACCACAGAATTTCAGATGATCTGAGGCCAGTGAGGAGCTGATGGGAGCTGGTGAGAGGGGGCAGCTGCTCCCCTCCTGAGTGAGGTCACTTGTAACACTTGCAGTACCTTCCATTTAAAACTCATGCCAGACCTTCCAGGCCCTGTGTGGCTGATCCCTCTACTCCCCCTACATTTGGGGTTTTTTGTTTGTTTGTTTGTTTTTTTGCTTTGCTTTGTTTGTGTTTTAGACAGCTGAGGCTGGCTTTGAACTCAATGATCTTCAACTCCGCATCCTCCATACCTGACTCTTGCTCTATCTTTCAAACAAAAGTAAACAAATAATTTTTTGAGACAGAGTCTCACTATGGAGCCTTGAGTGGCCTGCAACTTCCTGTACAGACCAGGCTGGCCTGGAACTCACAGAGATGCTGCCTCTCTGCCTCTGCCTCCTCTCAAGTGTTGAGATTAAATTTGTGAACGTGTGTGCCACAGAACACATGAGGAGATCAGAGATCAGTTCATAGGGGTTAGTTCTCTCCTCTTCTGTACTATGTGGGTCATAGGGATCAAACTCGGGTCATTAGACTTGTTGGCCTTTACCCATCTTACCAGTCCTTTGATATCTTTTTTTTTTTCCCCTGAGTCAGGGCCTCACAATGTAGCATAGCTATCCTGGAACTTACTATGTAGACCAGGCTGGCCTTGAACTCTGACTCCCAAGTGCTGGGGTTAAAGGTGTGCATGACTCCTCTAACCTCTTGGTGTATCTTGTTGCTTGAGTTCTTTCCTTTGCACACACTGCTCCCTCCCCCTGGAACTCTTGTGAACATTGCTTCTTGCCTTGGCTTAGATGTCCCTTCTTTGGAGATGGCCTCCTTGACCACCCCCTCACTGCCATATTGCTCAGGTTGTCATTTTGTTCTTTTTTGCCTCTGTGACTTAATAGTATCTGAATTTGGTTTTTGCTTCCTGTGTTTCCAAAGGCGGCTGGGGGGAGGGGGAAGGGGAGGGAGAGGGAGATGGCAACCATGCTGCTCCTAACGCTTCTTCCCTGGTTTTCTGTGTCGGTTATGCAGCAGCACTCACGGATGCTGAGTGCATCCTGGTGTGCCTTTCCCATCTGCTTCTGTAACAAGTCAGTTCTGTTGCTTTCCATCAGTGTGACACGATACCTACCTGAGGCCAGCAATTTAGTGTTTGTCTCATCTTCTGGAGGATTCAGTTCATTCTGTGCCTGCTGTGACATAGAGTGTCAATGGCAGAGAGAGTGTGGCACATGAGGCTGCCTACCTCATGGTGTCCAGGAAGCAAGGAGGGAGGTGGCAGGGTACCAGTATCCCCTTCAAAGGCACCTTCCAATGGCCTGGCGCCCTCACCTCCTAAAAAGGGCACACCACTTCCCAGTAGAGTCACAGGAAGACTTAGCCTATAGCAGGTGGCTTTGGGGGGGGGGCAGTTAGAGCCAAATCTCCCAGGTCTGCAGTCTGAAACTCAAGTCTCGGCAGAGCTGCCTGTCTGCTGAGTGCTCTAGGGGCAGAATCCAGTCCTTGGCCTTCTGCCCCTTGTGGAAGTGTCACCCTTGTGGAGGCGGCCTGCATGTCTCTGCTGCTGGCCCTTTCTCCACCTGCAGCACCTGTCTGTCTTCCCTACATCCTCCTCACATTGCTTCTTGCACTTACCTCCCTCTCAGGGCCCAGCCCATGATAGTCCAGGATGATGCTTCTATATGGAGACTCTTATCTTAGTCACATCTGCAAAGCCTCTTTTGCCACAGAAGGCATATATTACACCTCTGGGAGTTTAGCCGTGGCCATCTGGGTATTATTTGGCCTATAACCCCAGGCCCCCCAGGTCTGCTTGCCAGGTATGACCAGCATTCAGGTACCCTGTCCACTGCCATGGCATCTGGGGATCTGATCAGTCCTTCATTTTGCAGGATGAGATCGAGGAGCTGCGGGCTGAGATGCTGGAAATGCGGGATGTCTACATGGAGGAAGATGTGTACCAGCTACAGGAGCTGCGGCAGCAGCTGGACCAAGCCAGCAAGACCTGTCGTATCCTGCAGTACCGGTTGCGGAAAGCTGAGCGTCGTAGCCTCCGTGCTGCCCAGACAGGCCAGGTGGATGGTGAGCTCATCCGTGGTCTAGAGCAGGATGTCAAGGTCAGTGTGGGGTCTCCACCAATCTTCATAGGTGCCCATGTTGGGTGCCTGGGTCATAGGCCCCACTGGGGATTCAGGTTAGCCCTATAGCTCACTACCGCCTTGGGCAAGTTATCCTGCCTCTCTGGTCTCAGTTTCCTGATCTGTAAAGTCGGGACCCCTGGTGGGTCAGCAGGTCCTCCAAATGGGGTATCCCAAAATGATATGATCAGAAACATCACCACCCCACCTCCCATCCCCCCACCCCCCACCACCCTGACAGCAGCAGGGGGCTCTTTCTCTCCTGTACCTGGCTTTTGCTTCTGAGCAGCCACTACATGGTCCCTGTTGGGTTCCACAGGCTCCTTAGGCTACTGAGAGATGAAAGGAATCCAGCTGGACTGGGTTAGTTCAGAGCTGGGCTCCAGTATGCTTGGATTTTCTGACTTTGAGCAAGTCACCTATGTTTCAGTGCCTGCATCTCCAAAACGGATGTCAGAACATCCAACCAGGGTATTGAAACCACGGCTGCATCTTATTTCCAGATGAGGGCTCTGGCCTCAGAGTGGGATGTACTTATCCATGGTCAGGGGCAGAAGTCAGGCTCATCCATCTCCCAGACCTGACTGCTGGACCTTGCCTCACCTCTGCCTCAGGAGGAAGCAGGGTTGGCCCCACTCAGACAGGTGGGGCTCCAGGAAAGAAGTCTCCACGGTGTCCCTGATCTAGCCTGTGCTCTCAGAACTCAGCCCAGTGTGAGCAGCGGGCTGGCTGGTGAAGAACAGATAGGAGCCAAGGAGCCCTGAAAGTGGCCTCTGCACTCAGGCGCAAGAGAGGAGAGGGCCTGAGCCGGAAACCAGGGAGTTTAGGAAAGACTCCCAAGGGCCCTGAGGGCAGACAGGTGTGGCGCCATCCACACAGGCCTGCTGCTTGCTGGAGAGCACCGCGAATCCCGCTCTGCAAGCCAGTCATAAAGGACACCGTTCATTCATTCCAAAACCAGTTTTGGTTTAAAAAGGCCACAGCTCCTGACTGCACAGCAAGATCCTGGTTTTTGTTTTGTTTTGTTTTGGTTTTAACAAGAAGTGTGGAGAAGTTCAGGCTAAATCTGCCATCGGGCTCTGGTCCTTGAGGATTTCTGAGAGGGACCCTGGACTAGTGGAGTAGGAGATGAGGGAGTGGGAAACAGGCTGGTGGGCGGAGCCAGAGCAGCTGGGGTGGGGGTGGGGTTGAGCCCTCCAGGAGGAAGGGAACGGCCCCTTCTGTTGGGATTTGAATCAGCCAATCAGCATCTCCGTGCCTTCCCTGCATCCCCCCCCCCACCTCCTCTCCTCCCTTCCCCCTCTCCCCGCAGCTGCAGCGCTGAGCTCATGCTCTGGCTAAGCCTGGACTGGCCACAGCCTTGCCATCACCCTTCGCCCCAGCGTGCTAGGAATGTTAGAGACAATTATGGAGGTCCTCAGAATGCTGACTTCCCCCGGGCAGGCTAAGGGGAACCGGGTGGAGAGGGATTGGAAGGAGTGTGCCTAGGGATTCCTCCCTTGCTCAGCAGGCTCCTTGGCCGCGTGCCCTGCAGGGATTTTGAGCTCCAGTGGTTTTGTTGGGCACATGTGTTATTACTGAGATCGCCGCCACCACCCCACAGCAACCCTCCCCGGCTCTTTCACTTTTTGCTGGTCCACACAGTTAACAAGATCCCCGACCCTCAGCGGAATGATAGCATGAGGATGGGAGGGCTAATGAATGGACAGCGACCGCTTTGTGACTGTGAGGCCTTGGATGAGCTGCTTCACATCTCTGAGCCTGTTTCCCCTGTGGAACATGGAGACTAGTTTAGTTCCCTGTAGAGATTTTTATGAATATAAAATGAAATTACTAAAGAGAGTGCTGTGTGATGGGTGTGGTACCAGTCAACTGATCATGTGATAGGAGGGAGTCATGGACAGTGACACTGGGATCCCTCTGCTTTTCTTGTCGAAGGTCCCAGAAGCTTCTGCATCAGTAATATGTACCCCTCCCCCCATCCTTAGATAAGGATGCTCTGGCCTTGGCTCTATGCATTGGGTAACCTTTATCATTTTCTCCTCAGAGCCTCAGTTTCTCTCTGTGTAAAATGGGGTGGTACTCCCATCATGTGATTCTTGAGAGACTTCGGTCACACATGGTTCAGGATGCTGCTGGCCTGGGATTTTGCTTCCACTTTCCATCTCTGTCCCTGAAGATCAGAGCCTGGCGGGGCATAACTGCATTCCAAGGTTCAGAGCCCAGCGCTGATGTGCTCAGGCACTGGGGGCCATCCGCTGGGATGGCCTTTGGCAGGGACCAAGGCCAGCATAATAAACAGTGACCTCATGGCTGAGCACATTTGTTTGTGCTTTAGGCATTTGCCCTTGAATGGATGCTGCAGCTGCCTCTTCCTCTTGGTCAGGCCCCCTCCTTTGGATGTACCTGTGGAACTCAGTGAGACAGGCACAGGGACCCTGTAGGCCCTACTGGTATACTAAACCATGTTGGGACTTGCTCTTGACAGTTCATTCTTTGTTGTTATGCCTTCAAGCTTGTCCCCACAGCAGCAGCTTTAGAGTTGACTCATGCTTGGTACCTCCTCAGTCATGTGACTTTGGGCAACTGAGCTTTTCTTTCTGAGCCTCAAAGTGGTAATAAAATGTGTCCTGGGGGTGAGAAAAGCCTATGAGAGCCTGGGGAGGAGCTAACTGCTTCTAGAAATGATCTGTGAGAGCCCAGGCCCTGGCACCACTGGGAATCTGGGAGGGGAAGGCAGGGCCAGGCTCTGGTTCCTGTTGCTCAGTCTGGTAGCTATGGTAGCCTTTGCTTCCTGACCTTCATGAAGGCTGCAAGACACTGCAGGGATCTGAGCATATAGACTTTTCTGTCTGGAATTCTACAGCTTCTGGGAGAGGGTGGAGCTTCCGTACATTTGGCCCTGGGGTGGGGAGGACATGGGGACAGGCAGGGAGGCCATGGAGAAGGAAGAGGATCCAGGAACTCTCGTGGAGACCAGATGGGCTTCTCGGGTGGAGGCCATGGTGGATATGGGGTACCTCCTATCTCCACCCCCTCCCATTGGAAGCATGTTTGGGTGAGGATCCCTTGCCCCAGTAACCCTCTGTGGACAGTAGGGCAGGGGCAGGTGTAGCTCCCCACATATATTCAGCCAGCCACTCCTTCCTCATGTGCTGGACCCTGGTTTGTTTGCTCATCCAACAAGCATTTGCAAGGTGTTTAGTGTATGCCGAGCCCTGATCTGCTACTACTGCGACGTGTGAATGAATCCAGATAGGCATGGCCTTGGTCTCTGTGGTCTACCACTTCCACCCCAGCCCCAAGGCAAGATGAAGGAATGAATAATGAATGAATGAATGGCATGTTGCTGAGAAGAGGGCTTTCTGAGTGACCTGATAACCCCACATTGGGGACTCTAGCCATAAGCCTGGGCCAAGGTGGATAAAGAGGCGAAGAAATAATGGGTAATGTTAAAGTTATACATGCTTTTGTGACTGGGTCGGAGATGTAGCTCAGCTGACAGAGTGCTTGCCTAGCAGGCACGAAACTCTGGTGTTGTTCTTCAGCACTGCATAGACTCAGCAAGGTGGCATATGCCTCTTAGCCCAGCACTTGGGAGGCAGAGGCAGGAAGATCAGAAGTTCAAGGCCATCCCTGGATAGTAGCAAACTCAAGGCTAGGCTGTGGAGGAAAAAAAAAGTCTGACTGGAGATGTAGCTGAGTGGACGAGTGCTTGCCTAGTGTGCACAGATGGCTAAGGTTCATTCCCAGCACAGCCTAAAATAGAAATCCTTGTATACATGATTCCTTGACCTTGTGGCCTTTGTGCAGCCCTGGTGGTTAAGTATTTTACACAACCAAAAATGGGCCATGAAACTATGAAATAAATGCATTGTAAAGTAAACAATGAAATAAATACTTTGTAAAGTATTCAAGAATAATAGTAAATAAGAAGCCCTGGTTTTTTGTTTTTTTTTTAAATCACCTTTTGGATTCCAGCCACCACCCAAGCACCAGGGATGCCATTTATGCCCTCAAGAGCAGAGTAGCCACCCATTTACAGTGAATGCTGGCACTGAGCTTGAATCTAGTTTTCTTCTCTGTAAAATCTTCTTTTGATTTTGATATTGAAGGATTTGATCACCCTACTTTATGGGTGAGGAAAGTTTCGTGGCCAGAGTGGCTGCAGGGGAGGCTTTAGGCCTCCGTCCCGGCCCTCAGGGATCTTCGGGCTGGAGGGGGCAGTGGGCAGAGGAGGGAAGAGAACCATGCCCAGTTTCCTCTCAACTGTTGTTTTTCCTAGCCTTTCCTGCACATTGCCAAAGGGTCTGTGCTGGGCTTGGGCCCAGGCAGCGGGCAGAGCCAGCAAGGGCCTCTTCCCTTCCAGAGGGAGGAGGTACATGGTCATTTCCGACATTGGCAGGCCTGGGTGCTGGGCTGTCTATGCCGCACAGGTTTTGCTGGCAAAGCCTTCGGACTCCTGGGAGATCCTGGCTCTGCTGGCCCCTGCAAACTGCAGGGAGTCCTAGTCCAGCCCAGCCATTCTTGCTGTGTGTGACCCTGAGAAAGTCACTGAGCGTATGTGAAGAGGGCAGGACCAGCATGTAGGTGTTAGCAGGACCCAGCCTACCTGGGGATAGCATTTGTTTGCATTTTACCAGGATGGCTCCCTTTACTCCCTCCCAGTCCCCCCTCCCCCAGTGCAGGGGCAGGACAGAGGGGATCCTCCAGGGTCTGGGGTGCTTTCGCTGCTGAGCCTTGCCCTAGTTAGCCACATCCAAATGATGATCTGGACACTTGCCTAGGCTTTGTCATTCTGGCATGTTCTGTATTCCAGAACAGGCCTCAGGGTCACTGTGACCTCCAGCAAGTCATGCCTGTCTCTGGACATAGGTTCCTGGGAGCAGCAGCCATGGCTCAGCCGACACTCACTGTGGCAGGTGCCGGGTGAAGGCTTCGTGAGCAATAGCTGATGTTCTCCTCTTGTTGGCCCTGAGGTTGTCCTGTAACTGCTGTACCCATTTTATAACAGCTGAGAACAGTGAAGCCTGGGGCCAGGAAATGGGTTGCTGAGGGTTCCATGCTGCCCATTGTGTGCTGGGCTTCCAAACCAACTCTCTGCCCTCACAGGCTCCCCCTGCTGAATATGAAGCACCCGTAAGAACAGAACAAGATCATCACAGCTTTGGGGGGCAACATTGGGAGCTGGGATGCCTGGGTTTGGGGCCTGTTAATCCCTGGATTCATGGCTTTTGGCGAGTCTTAGGACATCTAGTGCCTCGGTTTCTTTATCTGCTGAGTGAGGGTGGTGAGGTGACTCTGTGACTGAGGTGGGATGGTCACTGGGACTCAGGTGTGTCTTCCAGCTTGAACATGCCCTCTCTGTCTCTCCCTCCCTGGCTCAGGTCTCTAAGGACATCTCCATGCGGCTTCATAAGGAGCTGGAGGCCGTGGAGAAGAGGCGGATGCGGCTGGAGGAGGAGAATGAGGGGCTTCGGCAGAGGCTCATCGAGACAGAGCTGGCCAAACAGGTGCTACAGACGGAGCTGGAGCGTCCCAGAGAGGTGAGAGCTGCGGCCCAGTTGGCCCAGGTGGGATGCACATCCCCGCCTGGTTGCTTGTGGACCGAGATGGGTCCATTCATCCTTCCAGTATATCTTTTCTGAACACCTCATCTGTATTCTACACTGGACACTCAGAATAGAGTGGTGAACAAGGTACACTTACTGGGATTAATTACTCTCTCTGGGGTTAATTGGGGGTAAGGGCCTGGCCTTCTGTCCCTCAGTTCCTCATCTATAAGGTTGGGCAGTTGTTCCCTGGTCACTGAGAGGGCTACTGACTAGCTTGTGTGGGCATGTTTGTGAGAAGGATGCTAGGCTTAGATTTCCCTCTTTTGTCTCTGAATGTGACTTCCAGACCCCATGTCCCCCATCCTGGTTGATGTCAGCCTCTCCTCCTGCTGTACCCTCCTCCAGCTGTGAGTTAGGCTCACATGAGGACAGTTTATCTCAGAAATCTTTGCAAAGGCCCAACAAAGCTGTGCTGCATTTCACGGCTGAGCAAACAGCTTCCTTCCGGGAGAGGGAGGTGGGTTCTCAAGGTCATGCAGGCTGCCGGGGACTTTTCAGAATGCCAGTGGAACACCATCAGCCCGGGTGATGGTTAAGCCTAGATACCTCCTAATTCCAGGGGTGTCTGTGGTCCAAACACTAGGTGGCCTCTGGTCTTGGAGATGCAGCTGGTCCTCAGCTGGTTGGCTGCTCATTAGGCATCCCAGGCTGTACATTTTCTGGGGCACCTACTAGCTTCCCAAGGGGGCCAGCATGCCAGCAGTCCAGAGCTGAGGCATCACAGTCCCAAGGGCAGAGCATTCTTTGGCTGTCCTTCACTCTGGGTGAGTTGGTGCCATGTGCCAGTGCCCCACAGGGTGGAGAGGGCAGCATCTGCCCTAAGGGCTGCAGTGGCATGCATTGGGCTGTAGAGCTGGGTGGGGTCTTCCCTTCGTGAACTTTCCTACTGCCTACAGCACTGGGTGCCATCTGTGACGTAATCTTGTTGCTCCCATCTCTGGTGGTGGAAAGAAGGGGCATTGCAAACTACCCTGTTCCACAGCCTATTCTGCTTGCACAGATAGGGAAACTGAGGCCCTCAGCTGCAGCTTGTTGAGTTTGCCCCAGACTTGCCTCAGCAGAGATGTGACTGAAGCCACTTCCCCTCTCCAAGTCTCAGCTTCTTCCTCTAAGACAATGGCTCTCAACTTTCCTTATGCTGCAACCGAGCCTCATGTTGTGGTGACCCCTAGCCATAAAATTATTTTCATTGTTACCTCATAACTGTAATTTTGCTATTGTTATGAATCATAATGCAAATATCTGTGTTTTCTGATGGCCTTTGGTGTCCCCTGTGAAAAGGTCATTTAGCCCCACAGGGGTCATGACCCACATGTTGGAAACGCTGCTCTATGATGTCAGGATGCAAGTAGTACCAATTTACAAGGGTGTTTGTGTAACTGGAGGGGCCAGGGATGCAGTCCAGACAGTGTATATGCCTGGCACACGAGAGGCCCTGGGTTCAAAACCTAGGGCTGAAAAGAAAAGGAAAAAAGAAAAACAAAAACCTTTTGAGTGATTATGGAATACTATGAAGTTAGAAAGAATAAGGTCATGTGACCATTTCTCAAAACCTTAGTGAACTGCATCGCCCAGCAGTTCCCAGTTCTCAGTATATCCCAAAGAACCGAGAGCAAGGACACAAGGTTCGTACCCCCATGTTCATAGCAGCATTATTCACACACAGTAGTCCAAAGACAGAAGCAAAATGCTGAGCGATGGGTAGATGGATATGGAAAGCCTGGTATGCATGTGTATGGGACAGTTGTTTTACCTGGAATATTGAAGTGCTGATACACGCTACAGCCTGGATGGGCCTTGAACGCATCATGCCATGTGAAAGAAGCCAGATGTGTGGGGATGCATGTTGTAAAGTTCCATTTATCTGAGAATCCTAGAGTAGTCAGATTCATAAGCCAGAGAGGAGAGATAGTGGGCAGGGGAGGAGGGAACCAGGGCTTACTCTTAGGTGGGGGGTGGAGGGCAGAGTTTCATTTTGGAGCAAGGGAAGGGTTTTGGAGACAGATTGCGCTTGAGGTCATACACAGTGAGTAGATTTAAGCAGGATATGGTATTGCCACCTACTGTCCCAGCACACGGGAGACAAAAGCAGGAGGATCATGAGTTCAGGTCATTTTCAGCTCCACAATGAGTTTGAACCACTCTGGGCTACATGAGTCCCTGTCTCAAAAGGAAAGCCTGGGTTCAAATCTGGCACCAGAAAAACAAAAGCAAAAGTCAAAAATGGTAACTTTATGTTTAAATATATTTTACTGTACTAAAAAAGAATGTTTAAAGATGATAAATTTATATGCTATAACCTTTACCACATGTTTAAAAAATGGAAAAGTATGTGCTAAGACCTTTTCTTGAAATAAAAAAGCCATAAAGGGCTGAGAACATTGCTCAGTAGTAGAACACTTGCCTAACACACACGAAACCCCAGGATTTGAGACCTATTAGAGCCCAAAAAGAATGTTACAGAACTGTATATATTGAAAAATCCCACAAGCTATTTTAAGATCTCATACATACCAGGGCAGGGTGAACTCTTGAGCCATACCACCGACCCAAAGTTAGGCCGAGAGAGAGAGAGAGAGAGAGAGAGAGAGAGAGAGAGAGAGAGAGAGAGAGAGAGAGAATCTATGTATCTGTGTCTGTGTGGAGGTCAAAAGACAACTTGAAAAAGTTGATTCTTTTCTTCCACCCTGAGGATCAGGGATCAGGTCATCAGGGTTGGTGGCAGGTGCCTTTACCCACTAAGTTGCCCCACAGCCCTACTCAAGGAATTTTAAGTATTTAATGTAAAGAGCCTAGAATTGGCCCTGACACAGAGTAGGTGCTGAAGACCAGTTCTCTTCCCTGGGAAACAGATGCCTGAAGTCTGCTCTATCCTCCTGGTGCTCCAGATCCTATTTATTTGCTGTTTGCCCTCTCCTCCTCCTTCTCCTTCCTGACATGGTTGCTATGGAGACAAGGGTCCCTCAGCAATTCTTCTGCTAGAACTACAGTCCTATCTTCAGGTCCTGCCTTTGCCATCCTGACAGGTTGCTGAGACAATGTTGTCACTGACTGAGAATGGGAGCCCCTGCCCTGAGCTGATGCTGTTGCTATGGAGATGGCTCTTGGCGAGAGAGCCGGAAGGGAGGTGGCATGCCCTAACTGCTGTCTGCAGTGGCACTGTGGCTCAGCTGGGCTGCTGCTTAAGAATCGTAATAGCAGCTGTCCCTTCTTCCACTATCATCCCCCTTGTATTCAGGCAGAAAGCCAGTGTGAGTGTGATTTGTCCTAACATAGCTGCTGTGTCTGAGTGCTTACCCTGTGCCAGGCACAGCTTCCAGCCTTCCCTGTGTGCCTTCATGATAGTTAACCCTCCACTGTCCCTGCTTTATAAGTACTACTCCTTCATGAACATTTTAAAATTACAGTTTGTTTCAGTGATCACTGAATACATTGTTTTACAGATCAGTTTCATAGATTGATGTTGTACTGCCTTCACCATGATCTAATTCCAGAAGATTCCCATTGCTCTCCTAAGCAACCCCACACCTGTCAGCAGTCACTCTCTACCCCCACCCCTCTAGCTCCTGGCAACTGCTGGCCTGTTTTGTGTCTCTATTGATTTATCCATTCAGGAGATTGCATTCAAATGGACTCAAGCAACATGTGATCTTTGGTGATGGCCTTCTATTACTTAGCAGAAAGGCTTTCAGGGTTTAGACATCCATGTTGAAAACCGCATTTCTCTTCATGGCTGGGTAATAATCCATTGTTTGAGTTGAGTGACTTATCTTTAGTAGATATTTGAGTGGCTCCCACTTTCTGTTGCAAAGGACACCCATGTTCATGCTTTTGTGACTCTATGCATTTCTCTTGGAGATGCACCCCGCAGCAGAATTGTTGTCTATAGATGAGATTGAAGAGGCGAATAAGGGATTCTAACCCGGGGCCCTGGGCCTCCCACACTCATACTAACCCCTAGCAGAGATGCTGCTGACTTCTCTGAGTCATCAAGGGCCCTTCTCAGTCCCCACATCACTGATTTCTCACCTGGATTTCCTCCTTGATCCCGTTCTGATGCTGTGAAGTATGCTCTGGTCCCATCTGCAAGCTGCAAGCAGATCTAGACCAGACGTGGAGCCACGTGGGCCTGGATGTGAATCTTGGCTTTGTTGTTTGCTCGCAAGTGACTGTAACCTTGGGCAGATGGCACAACAGCTCTAGTGCTCACTTGATCTGTTTACAAAAAGGGAAAATCAGTCCCTACAGCTTAGGGGTGTTTGTGAGAATGAAATGAGGCAGGCTGGGAAGTGCTCAGCCTAGAATCAGCACTTGCTAAATACAGCATGTACTATTATCGTTACCATCTCAACCAGCCACTGGCTGCCGGCCTGGAGAAGCCTTTGCAGCCTCACACGGGGGCTGTCCCCACAGAGCTGGCAGCTGCACATGGAAGGAACAGCTATGCAGAAACCTGTCCATGATATTTGGTTTGAGACATGAGTCTAAACTTACTTTTCCTGGTTTTAGGATGGCTCAGAGGCTAAGAGAGCTTGCTGAGTAAACATGATGATATGAGTTCAAATCTCCATAGCCCACATAAAGAGTTGGGCATGATCCCAAACAGACCTGCAACCCCAGCACTGAGGGGCAGGTTCAGTGGGAACCTTGTCTCAAAGGAGTAAGGGCAAGAGTGACAGAGCAGGCAGGACAACCGATATCCTGGCTTCCATGTGTGCATAAATATACACAAGATGCAATTAAAAAATGTTATTTTCTCCGCTGAAGTGGTAGTTGCTCCAAGGACTATATGGCTTGTCTGCCTATCATTCTGGCCATTCTGTAAGGAATACACCTTACTCTAGAGATATGCCCCAACCCAGGTCCCCCTTATGGTCTGTTTTGTGTACACACAATCCGATTTCAGTGAGACTTATAGACACCCTTCCACA